AAAAAAAAAAAAAAAAAAGTGTGGGAGGAGTCTCATAGGGCACCAATGGGCAGGGAAGTCCCTCCTGAGCCTCAGTCTCCCCATCAGTGCGGTCTGGTGTCCTCCTGACAGGCTCCTCCCCTGCAGGCTGCCTTCAGCGGTACCCAGGCCCTGCTGGTGCTGAACAGGGCTGGCAAAGACCTGCTGCTCTCCCTCTGGCGGCCCGGCTGGCCCGGCGCCCCCTGCTCCCTGCACACACTGCGCATGCTCGGCTGCAGCCCTGTGGCCCGCCAGCGCCTGCGCTTGGCCCTCCGCCTGCCGAGGGGCATCTTAGGCTGGGGCAGCGCAGCCTTTCCTTGCGTGCAGGTGGTGTGGACCCAGCTCTGCTCCATTCCCGTCCCCGGGGCAGGGGTCCTTGCCTTGAGGCGTGACTGTTCTCTGGACTCCTGGGCTATGTTCTCTTTTCATTAAAGAAAACATGGAATTTGGCTTCTGCCTCCTTCTTGGGGTGGAATTTGAGGGCCTCCTAAAGCCCTGCGCACACCTGGCACCCCAGCACTCGGGAGGCTGAGGCAGGAAGGTCCCCGCGAATTCAAGGCCAGTCTGAACCACAGAGTGAGACTGTCTTAAAGAAACAAAAAGGTAGTGGATAGGAACCTAAATTGGGTACTCAGTAAACATACCTGGTCCTACCTTTTGGGGAGTGAGTAAGGGTGGGGAAGTGGGGGACACACCGGCATTAAAGAAGGCTGAGGGGACTGGGATTGCTGGTAAATTCTCACTGATCACACAGTGACTTCCCCACTATCAGTGCTTTTTAAATTGTTTTCCCGTGCTGGGGATGGAACCGAAGGCCCTTGCACTCACCTATATCCCCAGCCCTTTTTAAATTTATTTTGAGACAGGTTCTCACTAAGTCACTAAGTTTCCCAGGCTGGGCTCGAATTTGCAGTCCTGCCTCAGCCTCCTAGGGAGCTCACTAGGGCTTTAAAAGCTGCAGTTTTCAGCGTAGGCCCCAGGGCCGTTCTGGGGTATCAGTTCCCGTTCTGATTCTAGGCTGGAGAATGCCGAGTATGGAGTTGGGAGACTTGGGTTCAAATCCAGACTTTGCCACTCACAGGTGCATCCAGGCCTCAGTTTCCCCACCTGTTTAAGAAGGCCATAAACTCTCTTGACGCCTACCAGCACCCTGGTTCTCTGCGAAGCGCAGCTTCTGAGTTCTGCTCACCCTCCCAGTACTAGGAAGAGGAGCTGACATAGGCGCCACCTCCAGAAGGTGTTGCCAGCTGGCCTAGAAATATCTGTGTGCAAGAGACATTGCTGTGCACCAGTGATCCCAGCTACTCGAGAGGCTGAGGCAGGAGGATGGCAATTCTGAAGCCAGCCCATGTTACTGTTTCCCTTTGAGGTACTAGGGATGGAACTCACGGCCTTCACACTGAGCTGCATACCCAGCCCTTTTTATTTGTGGCGGGGGATGGGATCTTGCTAAGTTGCTAGGTTCCTCGGGATGGCTTCTGCAGTCCTCCTGCCTCGGCCTCCCAGAATGCTGGTGTGGCAGGTGTGTGCCATCACGCCTGGCTCAGCCTGGGACATTTAGGGAGACTTTGTCTCAAAAATTAAAAAGAGGGCTGGGGTTTTAGCTCAGTGGCTCCACCGCCTGCCTCGAAAGCACAAGGTCCTGAGTTCGATCCCCAGTACCTCCCCCCAAAAATTAAAAAGAACTGGGATGTGGAATGTAGCTTAGTGCAAAGGCCCTGGATTCAATCCCCAGTAACATGAAAGACAGAGAGAGAGAGAGAGAGAGAGAGAGAGAGAGAGAGAGAAGATACTTGTAGAAATGGTGTTAATTT